AGAAATTATATTTGATGCCCGATGAGGTGATCTCATCACGAATGTTCTTGACAAAGATATCACATTTAACGTATATGTGGATTGTGGTGGCGGTCACCATGCAGCAGCCGTGCATTGGCGCTATTTTTGCAAGATTTGCAGTTTTGGGTATGTATAAATGGTTTACGTGGATTCTAGAGCGCAGTCGAAAGTTCGATACGGTTCGAGTACGTCGCAAACAGCTTCCAGATACGATGAACACTCACGGTGCGAACTACTACGTTCCGATTCAGGACGAAACGTGTGAGAAACAGCACAATGAGTAAGTACCGCTAATTTTCGTATATGCTTGTGCAAAAAAAAACTTTTATAAACATAATTGTATTTTTTTCAGTTTTGATAAACCCCGCTACACACCTCGTATTTTGGGAAAGAGATTTGCCTTGACATCAACAGCGTATAAATTTTTGGATGTTGGAATGAACGCGGGACCTATGTCCTCTGTGGATATACTTATTGGCGATAATCGAGGCAATCGGATAATTCTGCTACATGCAACGTGGGTGACATTCATCGAAAAACGTGCAGATATACAGCGACTCGTGCAGTCATCGGCACCATCATCGCTAACGTTTCGAGATCTGGAGCTTGTTAAAATACGTGACGCAGATATTGTAAAATTGACGTCGTGCGGCACCAGCTTGTACATGAAACCGTCAACTGTACTCTTCCTGTTCGAACTAGAACATTGTGTCGAGAATGTGTATTTGTGTAAGTAAAAGATTCAAACAGTTTGTAACAATTTTACGTCAAAATTGTATCACTGATAAATGTAACGCAATTACAATCTTGCGTGACGTTTATGATAAAAATTCGATTATTGATTGCGAATTATTAGCCTACGCTTTGGATACTATTGTGTATAATGCGCTACATGATAAATAAATGCATATAATATGGTTAAAAAGTTTTTCCTTTTTATTTACCGTTCATCCCATTTCTTGTCATAAAGCTGTCTTCGTTTATCGTTTACTTAAATGTAATATTAAAAATTAAATGTTGCAAAGATCTGAACGATTAAATATCGTTGGCGAAGAAAAGATACGTGATTGCGAGCGAGAACGCGCGAGGGAAAGAGACCGCGCGAACGAGAAGACTCGCGCAAACGGGGGGGAAAGGGGGCGCGAGACACCGCGCGAACGAGAAGACGAATGGGGGTTGGGGGGGGGGGGTGGAAACATCTACGAGGGAGAGATAACGCGAGCGTGCCGTGTGACGTCACGCGGACTCCGCGGCGCGGCGAAACTCGAACGCGGGTCCCCTCGCCCCGCGGCGCCCGAAAACGCGGACCCCCCTCGCCCCGCGACGCGGCGGAAACGCGGTCGCCCCGCGGCGCCGGAAAACGCGGACCCCCTCACCCCGCGGCGCCGGAAAACGCGGTTCCCCCCTCGCCCGCGGCGCTGAAAAACGCGGTCCCCCCCTCTCCCTCGCCCGCGGCGCCCGAAACATGCGGTTCCCCCCTCCCCCTTTCCCGCGGCGCCCGAAACATGCGGTTCTCCCTTTCCCCCTCCCCCGCGGTTCCTCCCCCGCGGCCCCCCGCCCGCGGTTCCCCCTTGCCTTCACCCCCTCCTTATTGCCCCATGGTTAGAACCGGCCTAGCTTACCTACTGTCATTATAACGTCTATTTTTAGTCATTTTTGGTCTATGACATGGGCGACTAATAATGGACGTTTATAAGACGTCATTTCTTAGACCATCTAAAGACGTCATTTTAAAGACGTCTTAAAGTCGTCCAAATAAGGTCTTTTTGTAATATAATTATTTTTACTTCTTAATATTGTATAATAAAGTAATAATAAAATAAAAACCACAAAATTAACTACAATATGTTTGTTTCGCAACTTTATGATTGAAGTGGCGAATTTATGGTATAAGTGGATGTAGTTGCGTGTGATTATAGTTTTATGATAACTATTTCATGCAGTGTTATAGCTATCAAGAAGATTATCATTACAAGATTTTTGAACACTTTAAAGATGTACCTGTTATAGACAAGTACAGTTAATAAGGAAGCATCAGGGTGAGAAGATCGTCACTGTCCACTGGATCATCGAAGTCAAGCGACTCGGGCGCGGTACTGTACTAGGATAGGTGACCGCCTTGAGAGCGGCTATACGCACATGGCATGTAACGAAACAGTTAAAAAAGCTTTTTTTTTCTTAGATAAAGAAAAAGAACATTTTTTAATAAACGTTTATCAAGTAGACATTTTAAAATTTTAATTTTATAAAAAACATTTCTGGAAACCGGTATGTTGTACAATGGACCTATTTTTGCTGTCAATAAGACGTCAGAAAATGACGTCAAAATAACGTATCCGCGATGACGTCAATTGTCTGTGACATTAGACCGTCATTTTAACGTCATTATTCCGCCAGTTAGTGACGTCAGGAATGGTTAGTAAAGGACCAAAATTTGACGTCAAAATGACTTGTGTTTGCTACCTGGGAAAGCTTTTGGCTGTACATACCTAGCGGCGGTTTGTCCTAACTCTTATTATAGGAACTCTACGGCGGAGCGCTCACGCACACTACCAGGCGCGTGGCTCACTGACGTGCGCCCGGTTAAAGGTCGGCGCTGATTGGATTGACTTTACTCAATAATTACAGCTTGGTAAAGCATTATAGAAGAAAATGGTTCGGGACTTTTCGACTCAATTTTTTATCAGGAATAACGCTATGTAGTTAGTGCGCGGTCTTTAAGGAACACCCTGTCTATATATATATATACAAGGTGTGATCAAAAAGTTCGTGGAAAAATTTTTTTTGCCGACGTGGCAACACTGTAGGCTTCTATGGTGGTTTAGCGTCTAAGGGGAAGCCTTACGGCTCATCAGTGCAAATTTGGTCACGATCGAGTGCATACGTATTTTTTTGTGCCAGTATTTGTAAACGCAGTTTTTTTGCGCGGTCGAAATAAAGCGAGATGTTTTAATGCTCTTCGCATCCTTAAAATGTTCATCCCGCATAATCGTTTTAATTTTTGGGAACAAAAAAAGTCGCAAAGGGCTAAATCAGGCGAATGCTTTTAGCGAATTTTACGAGAAATTTGATGTTGGTTCTTTGTTCGGATAAAACATCTCCCCGAGGAACCACATTGCAATTAAAAAGTCATTTTGACATCATATTGACCAAAATATGATGTGAATTTGGTCAATGTGACGTTAAAATAACGTCATTTTGATTGCGATATGTTCCTCGGGTTGCTCCATTTCGACCGCAAAAAAACTGCGTTCACAAATACTGACACAGAAAAATACGTATGCACTCGATTGTGACCAAATTTACACTGATGACTCGTAAGGCTTCCCCTTAGACGCCAAACCACCATAGAAGCCTACAATGTTGCCACGTCGGCAGAAAAAAATTTTTATGCAACACGTGCATGGAAAGTGCCCCATTACGCACGCTACGCGTGCGTGATAGACCACTTTCCAGGCACTTGCAACATAAAATAGGGAGTGTAAGCCGTGTGTAAAGATGAAAATTCCCGGGTGCGGAGTTTACGCACGAGCCGAAGGCGAATTTTCATCTTACCTCACTTGTTACACAAATAACTATTTCCACAAACTTTTTGATCACACCTTGTATATATTTATTTGTCTCAAAATACACACGTTTATTTATATGTATTTTTTTCTCTCATCTGCTTTCGTTTGCGTCAACAGCCTCATGACCTCGTTGCGCGCGATAACCGGCGTTATCGACGGGAAGCTGACGCGCTTATTCATCTCTATCGCGGCCACCGTGACCCGTGACGGATCCCGCGAACGTCCCGAGAGCGATACGCAACGAATTTTCACAGTCTTCGCGGAGGATCTGGGGCCCTATTCTCGAAAAATCTCGAAAAATATCGCATACGATATTTCACGAATGTTACTAGAATATCGCATGTCGCAGTAAATTTGTATTCTCGAATTTTCACAAGTACCTCGTATACGATAAATATCGTATATTTGGTATCGAATGGGTCAGACCAGTCGATACGAAATCTCGCATACGAAATTGAGGTAACGCGGGCAATGTATAGCTTTTAACACGTTGTGTCAGTTGTGTGGTTGGTTGATAGCTTACAGCAGATTTCGTTTTATATATTGTTTATAAGAAAGATTGGTGTAAATTAGGTAAAAAAAAACACATTTAGTGCTATATTCGGTGTCGAACCTCATGTTTGCTCATGTTCGTGCTCACGCGAAGTATAACCTAGCAGTTCGTTGAGTATTGCACGTAATCTATTTTTCACAGATTTATTGGAACATGCAAAATTTAATAAATTTAGAAGCAATTCGTCTTCTCGAAGAAGTTGAAGGAGGAGCAGTGGTTAGGCGATTATTTCATGCAAGAAATGATCCTTTCGAGTTATCCAATAAGGATTTTATCCGATTATACAGAGTAAATAAAAGAATAGCTGAAGATATCAGTAATATTGTGTCGGAATATATTAATGAACAACCAAGACGATTATCAGCATTAGATATAAACACACAGGTAAATAAAATTATTAAATTATTAAATAGTTATTGAAAGGAATGATAACATCATTAATATATGAAATGTTTAATCTTGACTGATTGTTTTATGTTCTAGGTGATTCTGGATATGCCTTAAGACCCTGGTTATTGACACCTGTCATGAATGCTGAACCAAACTCTTCTGAAGATCACTATAACATAGCACATCGACGAATCCGATCTCTTATAGAAAGGACAAATGGTTTATTGAAAATGCGTTTCCGCTGTTTATTGAAACATAGGGTATTGCATTATAAACCAGATGTAGCATCGCGTATAATTAATTCTTGTGTAGTATTACATAACATGTGCATTCAAGAAAATGTACCACTACTGTGCCCAGAAGATTATGATTTTGATTTTGGATTAGATATTAATGATAATGTAAATGAAAATGTAGAACGGAACCGTATTAATCCAGAGCTTGTCGCAGGAAGAAATTTGCGAAGATTACTGATTCAAAATATGTTTACTTACATATAATAATACATTTTACTTAAAATATGTGTATTATTTATTAACACATGTCTAAAGTGATACAAATGTCAACGTAATACATAATCTCATATATCTATATATGTATATAACCTTATAACGTTTTACATTATAAAAGTATAAAATAAAAACAAAAAGTAAAAGTTAATAAGGTTTTGAAAGTTTATGTACTTATATAAGTTACCTTATTGCACCCAAAGTAACAAAAAATAGGAACTTTTCATTTATAATACTCTAGTATCACAAATTGTTTTCACAGTATTATTATTTTAGTATTATGAGTATGACAATATAATATATAGTAATAATTATGATAATTAGCAAGTATAAGGCCCAACGGGCAAGTATTAGTAGTACAGTAACACAAATTAATATTGATATAGTAGTATACATAAAAATAAAAATAATCTTTTAAATCATAAACACAAATAAAAGATATGAAGTCTTTGAAAATCACAACTTGAAAATTAGTCTTTTATAAACGGATAAACATTAGATATATTTTCTAATGCAGTTGCCATTCTTTCTTTTACTGTTACATCTTTTAACATTAATTTTAATTTTTTCCTATAATATTTCTTTCTCATCTGCTGATCTTTTGCTGTTAGGCCTACTAAATCATTAGTATATTCCATTGTTTTTTCAAATCTATGGCTTGCTACTGTTTGATTGTGTGGTTCATTTTGTTTAATATGTCCTTGTTTTGTGTTACATGTTTTTGTGTTCCTCTCTGTCATAGGTGTATTTTTAACGATTTTATTTCTATTTTCTTTGTTATTAGTAGCCATTACTTTATTCTCTTTATTTACGACAATCATTATTTGATTCTTTGTAGAAGAATTTTGCATATTGCACGTTGTAGCCTCATTATTATTCGTACTCATTGCCTCCACAACCGTTGCTTCAGGACCTTCAGAATCTGATATTTCTTGATACTCATCCAAGTATTCTACACCTTCATATTCTTATAAACAAAATTATATTTAACAAATAGATAATATAAGCTTGGCCAGAAATATTAGGCATTTATATTTTTTTTATTTACCTGGAATTCTTTTACCTGTATCATTTTCTATTGGTTACCGCCATTATACATAAGTTTAAAGTTTAATCTTATGTATGATGTCGGTAACCAATAGAAAGCAATGCAGGTAAAAGAATTCCAGATAAATGAAAAAATATAGGTGCTTAATACCTTTGGCCAAGGCTATATATGTATGTATGTACAAAGTTAAAGAAAAATTATATAATTAACATTACAATTATGTATAAAAAAAGAAAGTACGTACAAATACTGCTTCCGTTTCTGCAATATTATCAAGGCCACTAATTGCTGTTGCATTAATTGTTTCCAAAATCTGCTGTTCCGTAGATGTTAATTGCTCCAAAGGTAATAAAGCAGGGCCACCACCTATTCCTTTCATGTATTTACTTATTTGACTATGTTTTGCTTTTGTTTTTGAACACAGATCTTGCCAAGTCTATTTAAAAAAAATTATTTTCTTACTAATAAAATTTCTAAACTACCCAGATAGCGAAGCGTGTCTGAGCAAAATTGCGCAAACTTGTGATTGCTTGTGATGCTGGTAACTTGCCGTACATTTGCTTCAATTGATTTCGAGTAATTTAATATTTGAAGCAACACGCAGGCAACATTGGATATATGTATTGCCAGCAATTTGTCGGCAAGAGAGCAGCATCAAATTTACTTCGCGTTGCTAACAATATGACAGCATTGTGTGATCCTATGAATTATTACAGCAGCATGACAGCAACAGCTCAAATTTTAAATCAGACGATTTTAGAGCAGCACAAGTTGCTGGCAAGTTGCTACACAAAATTGTTATCTCGTGAAGGCATCAACTTGCCGACAAATGCGGACTCAGTTGCCACAATTCTGCTAGCAACACATACTATGTTGTCGGCAACATGCCAGCAACAATGCAGACACGCTGCTATCTGGGTAATTACATATAATTAAATGATTATTACAAGAAGCAATTATGACTGCGGTCCACTTGACGCTACAAATGCTTTGAAGCATTCCTTTTCTCCTTTCTTTCAATGAAGAAAGAAGGAGAAGAAGAACGCTTTGAAGCATTTGCAGCATCAAATGGACCACAGCCTATGTTATATCTTACAAAGTTATAAATATATGTTCTTCTCTACTTACCTTTCTCCATTGTTTCCAATCTTTTATAGCTCCGTTGGGTATTTTATGTAGTTCTTCAGCGAGTGCTATCCACATTCTTTGTGCATCCTTTGTTGTAAATGTTGAAGAAAATTTGCTTGATTTTAACTTCGGATTTTGTTTCATCAATTCAACTAGTGTTTCTTTTTGTTCCATAGTTATATATCCTGACCTCAATTTAGTATTCATTTTTTCTGATAGCCTAACCTAAATAACAAAATAGATTTTACAAAGTAATTTTGATCAAATCTGTTACTAATACCTAACGTCAATTTGTTATATTAATAATAGTTAACTTACCGGGGCCGATTTGATCATTCTGTCAGCACCAACTACAGTTTCTTTATCGGTAGTTGAGTGCTGCATTTCATGTAAAGATTTTCTAACTTTATCCTGCTTTAATAAAAAAATAATTATATTATACTCGTAAACCATTTATGTATTTTACACACAATTTTATTATATTAAGATAGTTTTGCGCGAAAAGAAAAATAAATATACTAACCTCAGAAGCGGTAATCGGTTTCGACGTACGAAAACAGCTCACGATATTTTATTCACGAATAATACGGCGTCACGATGCGAATATTATCGTTTGAACGAAGTTTCAGTCAACTTTTCGATTAAAAATTACACGGCTCTTGGCCTTGAAAAATCTGCTCTAGGTATTCGCAGCAATATATACTGACAGTACGGTAAGGTAAGGTTAAGTTTTCATTTCTTGTTATAGCAGCATTCTAATTGGTGCAAATATTTGTCTTAAACCTGGCAACGCTGTGAGAGTATCGCGTACGAAAATTTTCGGGTTACATTTTTCACTTCATTTCAAGAATATAAATCAGTGGCTTTTGCGTTACGCATGCGACATCGGTCGTGCGAAAATTAGCGTCCACGATATATATCGCACGATTTCGAGAATAGGGCCCCTGAACGCCATCAAGTTGCGCAGGCTCGAGGTGAGATTAAACAAACCCATCTATGCCGGTATGTGCATTCTCGAGATAAGACGCGCGTCTACGATTATCATTACGACTACATGGTGCCGCTGCATCGAAAGGTGTAAGATAATGTACACGGACAGTCTCATATATTTTTCTCGAGTGCGAAGACGCGTACGAGGATATAAAACGCGACATCGCGAGATTCGACACGAGTGGCTATCCCGAGAACAACGCGTACCGCAATGATACCCAGTTTGATGAAGAACGAGAACGACGGCGCGTTCATGACGGAATTCGTTGGACTAACAATGAGGGCGAAGATGTATGCCTTGAGGTTCAAAGTAAAGAGCGACACAAAAAGAATAAAGGGCGTCATGAGAAACGTGGTTGCGAGAACGATAACGTTCGACGATTACATGCGTTGCTTGAAAGACTAGCTCTTAATATGAAAAAAAAATGAAAAAATTATGAATTTTTGAGTGAAAATAGTCTTATTTTCGTTTTTTACGTTCTCCAATTTTTTTCATACTCAATATTACATAAATTACATGTTATCAAAATAACCTACAGAGTATTCGTTTGACGTTACACGAGGTGCACACCGTGTCCGAGTTGATTTCCACCCCATGAAGTGTCTGTCGGAGTAAAGAAGTGGAACTCATAGGGAATGCCGTAAGCGGTGGGCGAGGGGATGGCGTCGACCGACACGCCCGAGACGCGTGACCGTACGTCATCGCGACTACTTTCCTCCCTAGGGCGGACAGTGCCAGACTAGAGTCAAGCTCAACAGGGTCTTCTTTTCCCGCTAATTTTTCCAAGCCCGTTCCCTTGGCAGTGGTTTCGCTAGATAGTAGATAGGGACAGTGGGAATCTCGTTAATCCATTCATGTGCGTCACTAATTAGATGACGAGGCATTTGGCTACCTTAAGAGAGTCATAGTTATTCTCTACGCGTTCCACTTCCTCACCCCGACCCCCGACAGACACTTCATAAGGTAAAACCCCTATAGTTATGCTACTATCTTCTTTTGTTCATAAATGCTCATAGTAGGAATATAAGGGGATTTCTAACTCGAAAGCTCCGAAGGAGGAGCGGGTGGGGGGAACTCAAGGGCGTTGGGACATGTTGTTATCAAGTGTTTATAAACATATCGGTGACAAAAAGGCTAGCGCCGCCGTCCGGCCAAGAGGTCCGCGGAAGGGGGATCCGCGTTCTTGGCCAAGGAGTCCGCGTTCTAGGGCGAGGGGTCCGCGGGGAGAGGGACGCGCGTTTTGGGCACCGGGAGGAGACCCGCGCGCACCGGCAGCGTTTATTCGCGCTAAGAGGGAACGTGTCAGGACGCGTTTTGTGACACCGATCGATTATGGCGCAGGGTATTACAAAGGCTAGCGGGTGCCGTCCAGCTGCTGGAATTTTATCGGCAAATATAAACAAAATAGATAAAAAAATAGAGTTAGATTAAGCAATGATCTCATCCTTCTAGAACATGCGATCCGCCATTCGGTTATGGCGTCTCACACTACAAAAACGAGCGCCGATGGTCCGACAACGGTTTAAAGATAAAATAACCGAGGTAAACAATTGATAAAATTTGTCGCCGATGACGATTTAACCGTCACGGAGTCCTCTTCATGTTTCTTTCTAGGAAGAGCCGCTGCCGATGACGATTTAACCGTCGCGGCGGTATTCGGTTATAGCGCGGCATATTACAAAAGCGAGCGCCGATGTCCGGCTGCTGGAATGTATAAACAAAATATGTCTAACGATAATTATACAAATGCATAGACATCCATTGTCGCCAAGATGATTATGGAACCGCATCTTGCGGATCAGTCTTCGGCTAGCTTTCGCAACGCAAACGTTTATACTCGGGGGTGAAGTTTTTTGTGTTAAGTGGGCGGTATAAAGAAAAAAAGTTTTTTCGTAACAATGAGCATAAAAAAAATAGAGATTGACAATAATTTCGATATGGATGTAGATTCATCCGACGAGGATCGTCCGTTGTCACCGAACAGCAATCATAACAGCGATAAAAACGATAATCGTAAAGAAATTATTGATAAAATAATGTCGCGTTCGGAAATTATGGCGCTAAATGGACGTACGAAGTGTTGCGCCATGTATTTCTATTATTCCACAGGTGGTTCATATGTCATGTGTGCTTCGTGTATGATATCTATAGCAAACACTGAATTTAAGTACATGTATGTTATTCGAAAGCATATAACCGAATTGCACGATGTAATAAATAGCCGATTCTGCAAAAATGGTAAAAATCCATTATTCCAAATATTGCCGTGCAACATGTGTCCAATTTGCACGAAGTGAAAAAAAACATTAGCTTTCAGGACATGAACGTTTTTTCATAACAGTGAGCAAGAAAAAATGGAGATAGACAATAATTTTGATGTGAATGCGGATTCATCCGACGAGGATCACCCGTTGTCATCGGACAGTGACTATAAAAGTGATGAAAACGATGACTTTAAGAAAATTATCCGCAAGACAGTGCCTTGTTCAGAAATCGTTGCGATAAATTTACGTACGAAACAGTGCGTAATATACTTTTACTATTCAACGGGTGGTGCACTTGCAGTATGTTCTTCGTGCATGATAGCTCTATCGGACATTGATATCGGGCATATGTATGCTGTGTATATATATATGTCCAAAAACACATGGTTCAGGTACACGGTGCGATGCATGGCCGGTACTGCTCAAAGTGTGGAAAAGCATTGTACATAATATTTCCGTGCAACATGTGTCCAATTTGCACGAAGTGAAAAAAAAAAACATTATCGCGAGTAGGACATTATATAATGTGCGCAACATGGAACGGATAAGTGAAGAAAACTCTATAAACTCTATAGGCACTACGGACTATACAGACTCTGATAATTATTTAATAAAAGATATCGCCGATGCTTTGCGTGAAGAAGATCGAGGAGTAAAATTGACGGATGTGCAACGAATATCACCGGTGCAGTTTCTTCGCGATCGCAAACTTGGTATACGCGGAACCAGTGAGCGCGTCGTTAGACAAAGAGTCGTTATTAACACTGATTTTTCTTTTAACTGGACGTCTAACGTAAGACGAAAAGTGTATCGACGGCTGCGGGACGAGTGCGTTAGCGAGAAAGAATCACGTGCAGCTCGCTGTGCTGACGTTGTGCCATATTATATTAAACCGGAAAATCGCTATTGGGCGACTGAAATTATTGATAAGCTCAAGTATGACTGTGAAGCTCTGTACATTAAGATTCGTACAGGTATTGGAAAGTACGTCGAATTGGCGGTGATGAACAACTTGAATCTGTCAATCTATAACCCTATCAATGATCCTAGCCATACATTGATGCTTAAAAGGGCTCATGAACGTGAACTTGATGATTTTTATGATTGGCACTTTCTTGTCCCCTTCTTCAGTCTTCATCATTTTATGCTTATGCACTATTGCGTTCAACATTGCGAACGATATTGTTCAGCGCGTGATCGAGTTACGTGCAAGTGTTCTTCTGAAAAATGTGACGTGATTTAAAAATAGTGTGTGAAAAAGACTGTATTATAAAAAAACATGGAATATCCCGAGAAACGGAACCCGACCTGTTGGAACAATCCAACCAAATCGCTACCTTGGGCGAATATTTTGCATGGGCACAGCGATGCGAGGAATTTATTGAGCAGCTCGAAGAATGCTGTCGTGCCAAGCGTCCGCGACTCTCAATCGGACACAGACAATCTTTAGTGGCAAGAATCGCGCAACTCGATGGTGCGAAGACTCGATTACAGAGACATTTCATACATATTGATGGTGAGTACGCGGCGGGCAGTAGTAGTGACGATAACGCAGAAAGACTCGTTTGGCGAGAGATCGATACCGCGTTTGAAAGCCGTGTATTAACCAGTGCGGTTATTACTGTATAATTTCAAACACATCGAACCTCGTCAATTTTTCGAAGATGCGAAAGACATCGTGCTCGATCGTGTGCGGAACGTCATGCAAAGACATGAAAGTGTAAAGATAAACACTGTGTTCAATGGCGAGTTTGTGACGGGTGACAAAAGTGCGGAACAAAAGTGTCAACACAAGAAACTGCGAACTCTTTCGTACTCTTTTTCCGATCTGCGCGAGTGGTACGATTTGCGCGTTATCGAGTCTATTTTATCATCCCTGGAGGAATTTCAGGAACGCGACAGCGGGTGGGCGTTGTGGCGTATACTCAATTTGACAGTGAACGTGAACAAGTACAATCCTTTGCGCGCGGGGTGTCACCTGAAGTTGCCTCAGGAAATTAAAATGAAAAAAGCTGTGATCATCGTGCAATCGATAGACAATGCGTGTTTCGCGTGGTCAGTGGTCGCTGTCCTACATCCAGCCGAAAGAAATTCAGAACGGGAATTCTCGTACCCTCATTATACAGCAGTATTAAATTTACAAGACATTGAGTTTCTAATGACGTTGAGTCAAATTAAAAAGTTTGAACGACTCAACGATATAGGGGAGACCGAGGCTATGTGTCCACACTTTACGCTTTTTTCAAGTTTACTAAAAAACTAATAAAGATATTTGGCTAAAATTTTAATAGTATAACCTTTCAACCTTGCTATTAAAAAAAAAAAACATTATTAAAATCGTTGATCTTTTAACATTTTAAAGAGGCAAATTTTTTAAGTGGACAAGTCAAGCGTAGCCCCATATGCGAGGTTATCTGTCACATTCGAGGGGCTATCTCGAATGTGACTCTAAAACCTCTACTTTCGAAAGGTTACTATTATTTTGTCCAATTTTTATTATGTTATGACATAATTTTAATTCTGCCGCTAAGGAATTTTTAAGTCAATTCTTATGAATCAAGCTTGAATTCGATGTCTAGGTGTCCCAGGTTGCCGATAACGAGTTCCACACAGTGCGCTCCATAGTTTTTGGTGTCCAGGTGTAATAATACGTTGAATTCGATGTTTAGGTGTCC